AAGGAAGGGACTGCAGGGAAGTTTCCACTTTGAAATCAGCATTTTATATGAGGCGAGGCGTCTCCTTCCAGCTTTGGTAAAAGCCTATTCAGGGTTAAACTGTTCTGTCAATGGTGGAGTTACAATAAAAAAACAGCGTTTCAAAGGAGTGTCTTGCGCTTTTGGGACCTGGAGGTAGGAGGGGAAGGACCAACTCACGCCACACAGCCCTGAATCCTTTTATATGAGTATCCTGTTTCCAGCAGTGGACAGCTCGGTGTCCCTGGGAAGACTACAAGCACATGTGAAGCTAACAGCCCTCCTGTTTTGCACTTTCCTCAGCACCTAATATTCAGGGTTATACCACTCTGAACATGGAGATTTCATTTGCCTTTCATGCCAAGTATAAAGTAAGGGCACATTAAAAACATGTGTACAGCTCCATTTTCTGCTGATCTGGACTAGAACTCTGGAGGGAGGTTGGGTTAAAGAGCTTTAATCCTTTCTCCCCTGTTCCCGTCGCAATACGGATTGGGTGCTCCATACCTGCAACATATATTGCCACAGGGTGATCCATTTGCTTTAACGCATCCATGGACAATGGGGTTGGCATGTCGTCGCCTGGCCTTTGTTGCTCCCCTTCCCCCAATTCCTCATCAAAATTCAGTGGCGGAGCAGCGGTGATAGGAAAATAAAAGAGGCCTTTTTAAAAGCAAAAAAGGGAAAGGGAAAGGGAAAGGGAAAGGGGAAGGAAGGAGAAAAAGAAAAGAAAAAAAAAACTGCAGTTTGCTGCAGAAATTTGACAGCATGGTAGCAAAAAGGGTTATTTTAAAACAAAGTAGTTCCTTTTCTAGCCACTGCCATGCTGCTGTAATCTGACAGCAAATGACAGCTCTTCACTTTTACAAGGAGCCTGTCATCATTGACCTGCTGCTGAATTGCAGGGGCAAATTCAGTGGTGCAGACCCTGGCATGATCAGTGGGAGGAAACCCAGCTCTCAGCCCCGGAAAGTTGCCCTCCCCTGTGCTAATGATCTGCGTTTGGCAACATACGTTGTAGGCACAGGCCCCCTCAGCCCAGATTGTGACTGCAGCAGAGGGAAAGCCTTGAAACATCCCCGTGTTCCCAGCAGCCTTTTGATCCAGATTAGTTCTCCTGTGCTTACCTAAACTAAACAAGGATCTTCTCCATGTAGCTGCCTGCTGCATCTTTTAAAGGAACCCATGCTTTGGGTGACCATCACCATACCCCACGGCAGTGAAACCTAAGCTAACCATGTGATGCACTATTTCATTTTATCTGGCCTGAAGCTACTGATGATCAATTTCAATGGGAAGCCCAGAATTCTCTTGTATCATCTCTCTAAACTATTAGTTATTTTATAAAACTCTATCACCATCTTCTCCCATCTGGTGCCCTCCAGATGTGTTGGCCTACATCTCCTCAAATTCCCAAGCAAGCATGGCCATTGTCTGGGAATTGTATTCCAACACATCTGGAATACACATCTGGACACCAGGTTGGGAAAGGCTGCCCATTTCCTTTTTGAGATGGACTAACTAGCACTGGAGGGGCCTCAGTGCAGATATGCGTATATAAAAACATGAGGTTCTTCCCAGGAACTCCTCCAAAGGAGCATGCCTTTCCTGCTGCTGCAGACTAAATTAACATTTTCCTTCCGCTGTCCATCCTGCCAGTCTCTTGAGGCTGTTTTGTTCTCAGCAAGACCAGCAGTGGAGAAAGCAAAAGGCACTGTTTGGACTAGCCAACGTTGGCACCATGTCCAGCTCCAAGATGGCACACTGTCCCTTTAAATCCTTTGCTGCTTCTCTCATGAAGCACGGCATCACCATCTCTGCTTGAGGCACACAAGGAATTAGTTGAGCTTTAGACTTTGTCAGCCCCTACTGACTGTTGAAACTCTTCCAGGCCTGTGTCCAAAGGGAGGATCAAAGCATGCATTTCTTGACCCTACTGCCCAGGCTGGCTATTGGCTCTCCCAGACTAGGAAGGACTACAAAGACTTCCTCTTCAGGCTGGCAATGACTGTATTCATCGTGTCTAAAGACTCTTGGCTTGATGGCTGCTTGCAATCTACCAAATAATAAGACCAATCCTTGGTTCAGAAGAATCCTTTCAAAACAAAATTTCCATTACTGTTTCACCTGCATTTCCCCAAAACTGCAGCAAAGGGCTCATGGAGTACCCAGAACAATCTGCAGAACACATGCAAAATTAGTCCTTGACTTGTATTACTTTTGACAGCCTTTGCTGCTGGACAAGCTATGTTGACTTGCCGTTGATGTACAATGAAAAAGAACACAGCTTAGTGCTGGCTCATGTTAAAGACTGACTGATCTGCAGCTCTGGATGCTTTCCAAAGCAATGTCAAGAATCATTCTTCTTACCACTACCAAGGCAGAAACAATTGGATTTCTGTCCCCAAACTTCAAATGGCTTTTTAAAGTAGATTTCTGCATGGTAAACCATACAGGATCAAAGGCCCAGTCTTCTGCAGGAACTGAAAGTTTCATTTTTGCTTTGCATGCTGGATGATGCTGGGCTTTTGCAGAAATTGTCTGTTTCTTCTATGAGTCAAATTATGAAGCCAACATGTAGAATCCAGTGGCCACCCCAGCATGAAATTCCCAGGGTTCAGATGGGTTCCCACAAGGCTTGGGACAGCAGCTTAACTTTTGCCCCCTCTCTGGTTTCCCAAGAATCTGTCCATCACAAATAAAATATATACATTTCAAATGCTATGTGATGGAAAAAAATAATACACATCACAATTTTACTGGACAAACAGCCAGAGAGTACAAATGTTTTCCATTACCTCACTTTGTTATGCTGCCTTGGATCCCAACTGCAATATATACTGATGATGTATTTATGCCAATATTCCTTTAAGAGGAAATGTCTAATTTGTTCCTTGGAGACAGAAATGACTTGCTCAGTTTTGCAGAAGATTTAGAGAGAGGATGCCAAGAGACTAGATATTTCAGCTTTCTCTTTGCATATATCACATGAAACATAATTGTCTACTTGATAAGGTTTGTACGGATCCACACCGAGGGCATTCAGCCAATCCAGGATCAAGTTACTGGAGCAAGTCTCCTGTGAGTGGCCATATTTGGTAAAGTGATGGGCTCCATTAACAGTACCAGCAATGCCGGCAGAGTGGGGCAGTGTGCTCAAAAAGAAAGGATTTAAAATCATACAGTATTAAGAGCCAAAGGAATTGATACCAGCTTATGAAGCAAGAGTTGTGGGATGAAAAGTATCTACAGAGTAAGAGAAGTGGCTAGAAGACCATCACCAAAGCAATCCTCAGTAGAAGTGGTGCTAAATATCTCATATTGTCCAACTGCCTCTCTTTACCAAGGAAAGCCCATATTTTCTAGCACTCAGTACCTAGTAAATCACTGTCCCCATTTCATCCTCTTCCTTCTTGTATCGTGTCTGTAGGATTATAACCTGCAAGCAGTGGCTGCATTCTTGTCATGCTTTGTATGGTACTTAAAATAACTTTGGGCACTTTATAAACAATAAAGGAAAATGAAAAGCATCCCACATGCCGGAATGAAAAGCCTCTGGATCACAGAGAAGAGTGTATGTGCAAGCTTGTGTGTGTTGGCAGGGTGGGCTTGTAGGCTGCTGAAGCTTACCTGGTGCTCAGTCTGGAAATGCAGAACTACATTTGGCCTCTCCCTTACAAGCCCTTTGCGAGGGAGAGGCCACCATCCTTCTAAATCATCATTTCCTTTACTTAATTGCTGTTGCTCAGGCACATTTGGCAGGACCATGAGAGAAAGGCCATCTCAGTGGTTGCTCCAGAACTTGCTGCCAAGAGAGGCCAAGCTAGCTTAATCTCTGTAGTCCTTCCACTGGCAGGCAAACACGTTTTTTCTCAGGCATGTTTTTGCTGCTGAAGCAGGTGTTCCTCTGGCAGATTTCTGTTATGTGTTGAATGCAGTGTTGTAATGTTGGCCGTATTGTATTGCATTGTATTGTATTCCGTATTTGTAATTATAGAGTTATGCTATGGTATTCATGGACTGTATTGTTTCAATATGGTTTGCTAGCCACTCTGAGCTCCTTTTGAGAAGGGCTGGAATATAGATAGATAAAGATGTATAGATAGAGATAGGCAGAGATACAGTACATAAAGCATTTCTTGTTGCTCTGCTCTACTTTGTCTTATTATTGGGTGTCCTTTAATATATGTGTTTTGGTATTTTAATTATAACTTTCTTATTTTACCTTAATTTTATTCCTAGATTCCTTAAACACTATTTTTAGAGGCAAGGTAGCATATAAATTTAATAAATACATAAATTACCATCAAGAAGTGTTCTCCTAACTTTCAACTGAGATTTTGCTTCCTGTAACTTAATCCTGCTGAACTACTCCTGCCCTTTAGGCAACCCAGAATGGGTGTGTTGAACACATAACAGCAGCAAATTATGGGTTAATTAATGGTTAATCAATCACAGGTTAGTTGTGTAAAGGCTGCTTTGGGACATGCAAACCTGAGCATTATGGGTTATTTGTGGGTTAAACAACCCCCAGTTAACCCAAACTAATTGTAGGTTAACTGTGGGCTATTTTACCCATGAATAGTATCTGGGTTCACATGTCATGAAACAAACCTCCTAGTGGTACAATTGGAGGTTAATTACACGAAGCACCAATGGCACCCATTACCATTATGTTTGAACCAGGTAAGTAAATCTTTGGCCTGTTCTATGCAGCTGCCCTTCAGGCATTTGACATGTGCTGTCATCACCTGCTGCTTGCCGTCTTTTCTTTTCTTTTCCCAGGCAACGCAAACACTCTTTATTTCAGCCTTTCCTCATAGGATTTATTTTTCATATTGGAAACAGGGCTCAGAATCCTGAATTCACAACATGAACTGACAGCAAACCATGACGGTGTTCACCAGTGATAAAGTTCATGCCGTGGGGGTTGTCAGAACCTAAACACAAATATAGCATAAAATATGAAAGAAAATACCTACCAGCCTGCAACCAAATCTGTTCAAGTGTTGTCCAAAGCTGCATCGGCCCTTGCTTCAAGGCAGTGCTGTGCATGGTTACTTCAGACATGGCCTGCTCTAGCCGGGAAGCCGCGATAGAAGATGCTCTTTGAGAGCCTGAAAGGCAAACACACCACTGATGAAACAAACTGAGCCTTGCTGGTTCGTAAGTTAATTCCAATACCCATGATCAGGTAATAGCTTTACAAGGGCCAATGAAATAAGCACAAAATTGTTGGCAAGCTCTGAAATGTATCTCTCTAATTATAGTATCCTTCTTTATCTAACAGAAGAGTGTGAGCTTGTTTCTCTGCCACCATGCAAATCAGTGGTGACAATAAAAATGACCTTGGCGCTATTCCAAAACATGTATGAGCAGGCCTGGATGTAGTAAGTTAAAGAAATTAAAATTCTGCACTCCAAATGCTGCATCAGAACAACCTGAATTTCACAACTATTATATCAAGAAAACATCTCTCTATATATATGCAAAATATTTACATTTATCTATGTTCTTTTGCTATTTTGCATAATTTACTCTCATTTTGCTTTTGTGCAAAAAACAAACAAACAAGAAGCTATGATCTTCAACCACCAGAAATGTTATTCAGAACTTCATTTAGAGGCATTGGCCTCACACTTTCAAGCCTAATTTTACAATAATAAAACTGCCTTGATTTAAAATTAGAGCCAGGACTTATACATTAGACAGTCTCAGGTTCAATCCCTGATATTTCCAGATACAGAGCAAAGTTTAAGGTAGTAAAGCTGGGAAAAAGAACTCTGCCTAAAAATTTGCAGGCACTGTCAGCTAGGGTACTCACCACTGGCCTAGAGGGACTCATATGGTCTGTTAAGAGACCTGATTTAGACAACATGACAACTTACCCTTGTTTGTTATTGAAGTTGGGTTGTCATGTCATGTGAACAGGGGCCGCTTCAATAAGGGTGGTTGATTCCCCCCCCCCCGCAAACAATGCACCTTGCAGTTCCCATGGGCTGCTCTAGGGTTGTGGTCCACCATGGTGGACTGTCATGATGACAACCCTGGGGATGTGCCCCAACATCTGGTGTGCCACCTGGCACAAACTTCCCCTGCTGCTCTTGCCAGCAGCCTCCAAAGTGCCCAAGCGGTTGGGGCGCTGCCAGAAACTTTCCATGGCATGAAGCCTTGCTGGTGGCTCGAGATTCAACCTCTGAAGCTGCCGGCAAGGATGGCTGGGATCCACGAATCCTTGACAAGGAGACACCAGCTCCCTCATCCAAGAGGAGCAGACCTCCCTGCTGGTGGCTGGCGAGATCTGCTCTCGAGCCACTGGCTAGGATATTTGGGAGGTGAAATCTGCCGTGCTTCCCGGTGCTCAGGACAGCAATGCAGAACAGGTCAGGCACCTCCATCCCCTTCCTGAGATGTCTATTTCTGGGCAGGAAGTTCTAGGCTGCATTCCCAGGTTCAGCAGCAGTGCTGCCCCAAGGACAGGGCAGTGCCACCGAGCGGTTCAGGAGACCTTTCAATCAGGGGTCAGGCAAGCTGTTCAGCAGTACTGCCCTGTCCTGGAGGTGGCGCTGCTGCCGCCGGCACACCTAGTCGCTGGTGATCTACTTGGTGGTGCTACCAGGAGGGTCAGGCGTCCTAACCTCCTACCTGAGAGGAGACTCCTTGGGCAGGAAGTCGGAGCAAAGAATCCACTCAGTGGCACTGCCCCATTCGAGGAAGCACCGCTGAGCAGATCAAGCTGCTTCTCCTCCTGCTTCCGTTGGAACAGAAGGCCAGAGTACCTGATCAGCATTCCCATCCTCCCTTTTTTATTCTTCTTCTTTGCTCCCATAGTATAAACAGGGCTCCTGCCCTGAATACCCGTGAGTTCAACTTCTAGCCCCAGCTGTGGGGCTATCTGATAGAGGGAGACAGATCAGTCCCTGCAGGGCTGAATGTTGAACTACAGGAACAGATCCAGGGATTGTGACTGTCAGAGCAAGGGGACTCTTTCCTCCACCTCATGAATGAGGGGGAAGGAATGGAAGGGAGGCAGCAAAGCAGCCACAATGAACCCAACTGTCTGTCAGGCGCATTGTGCATATTTTGCAAAACTCTTCACCATGGCAGTAAACCTCAGATGGTTGTTATATGAACTCAACCAATATAAGGTCATTCATCACTTTCTGAGAACCTGGATTTAATGCCTGGCATCATTTTCTGTGCTCCAGTGAAACTGCAGCATACACAGAGCACAGTAAAAAGTAGCTGCTACAAGAAGATAGAGAATTGCATCCAGCATTTATGTGATGTTAGGAAATAAGTAATTATGATTGTGCAGACATTTAGATCACTCATGGGCCACTGTGCAAACCATAGATAAATTATGTCCTGCCAAAGGGAAGCATTAAAATCTAAGTCCATTTAGCTTCTGCCGAAGCAAAAACACTGCTCACAGAATTTTTCTAAACTCCAAAGGAAAATTCTCTGGTCAAATAAAAGAATAATATAGAATAGCAATAGAGAGGAAAAAGCCCTATACGGCCCCTGCCCCACTTCCACATGTGGGCACCCATCTGGCTGCAGGTCTGCAGCTTTCTAGCTCAGCAAAGGTGACTCAACACGTTAGCGCAACATAGAACTATGCAGGCATAAGACCAGAGGAAATCCTGATTGGTAGCATGGCCATCTCAGCACACTATGGGCAACTCTTCCATTGTATGTTATAGAAGTTATGCAATATAACTTCTATAACATACCACAGAGTCTTGGAGCACCACTGGGGAGACCTTCCAGTTGTGGTGCACTATGGGGAATCCCTTGTTATCGCCACTCACTGATCAGTGAAAACTGCAATGAGCTTTCGAGGGAGAGGCCTTGGGGGAGTAGCTAGCAGGGAGTCTCTTTAGGTGGAACGGCAACCTGCCCAGGCTGCATTAGGACCATGGGCCAGAGGTTCCTAATCCAAGGTTCAAACTCACTCTCCCACGCTCTTTCTCAATGGCCCCATTGCTGAGAGATGCAGTCCATGAGGCCTGGAAAAGGAGAGGAGCTCAGCCCTAGAAACAGCTGCGTTTCCTGCCACCTGCCAGTACCCAGAGCCCCATTCCACCAGGACTCCTCCTCCTCAAAGTCATCAGGGCTTGAGGTAGGGTCAGGAGAAATCACAGCCACCTCAGTCAGGAGCTTTCCCATCACGATTCCTAGAAACATCAGAATGAGAGAGCAGATCCGGAAGTTGTGTGCATGTGTGCGGGGCTCTGTACGAATGTGAGGGAAGCATCGACTGCAGATATGTGGCCCCTGACATGCTTCCAGGGAGTCCATGTGGCCCCTGGGATTAAAACATCTACCTACCCTGTGCTGGCACAAAGCAGCATCAACAGAAATCTTTAACAAGTGATATAAGGTAAATTTTAAAATATGTCAATGGAGGCCTTAGGTAGATTTCTGTTCTGCCTTTTGAAATTTCATCTAGGTCCCATCATGGCCGCCACCTGCACGTCAGGATGTGGAGTGAGAACTGAGTACCATCGGAGGAGCAGGCAGCTCCTACATAGCTGTGTTTAAAATGTAATGTGTTTGAAGCTCAGAGAACCTTCAGTTGCATTGCATTTGGTTACCTGAAAGGTTGCCCCGCACTACCCATGTCTTCTCATGACAGTCAACAGTCATGACTGGAATGAGGAAATTGTCAGTCAACAGACGACTGCCTGAATGAAGGCGATAAAACTACCAGTCCAAACGAGAACTGGTCTAATCACAGAGTACCTTTAACCGGATAGAAATGCACAAGCTCATTATGTACAAGACATTAAGGATCATGTTGGTCAGAAGCGACATCTTATATATAAATATCTATTTCTATGTTAAGAAGCAATGCTGCAATATCCCTTAGATCAGTGGTGGCGAACCAATGCCATGTGTGCCACAGTGGGCACGCAAAGCCCTCTGTTGGCGCACGAGCCAAGTCACCCAAGCATCACCCCAGCAGCCGAGCATGGGATAACAGCACAAACAGGTGCCATGCGCACACTAAGAAAGGAGCAGAAGCGCCAGGCAATGAGGCCACGAGCGGAAACTCATTAGATGCGACTCGTCTGAGCGTTCACATGGCCGGTCAATGTGCTGCCAAGGATATATATATTTGCTTACACTAGCCATGAGTTCTTTTCTTCCAAACTAAAATGTCAGTTTTCAGGTTTTATTACACTGTTGGCACTTTGGGATGAATAAGTGGGTTTTGGGTTGCAGTTTGGGTACTTGGTCCATAAAAGGTTCACCATCATTGGGTTAGGATTAAACAAACGTGGTTTCCTGGTATGATTTGGATGGCTGGAATGGGTTTAGAGTGGGCAGAAATGATGAGCTGTGCAGAAAAAGCTAGTAAAAGAAGGCTTTTTAAAAATGCTCCTATTATCGATGGAATTTTAGCCCTGTATTAGGGTTAGGTGTGTGAACCAGGGTAGGGTTAGGGTTAGAAAAACGTGGTGCCCTGGTATGATATTGATGGCTACAATGTGTTTAGAGTAGGCAGAAATGTTGAGTAGTGCAGGAAAAGCCACTCAAGGGAGGCTTTTTCAAAATCGCCTTCACTTCAATGGCACTTTAGCCCTGCAGTAGGGTTAGGTGTGTGAACCAGGGTAGGGTTCGGGTTAGAAAAACGTGGTGCCCTGGTATGATTTTGATGGCTGCAATGAGTTTAGAGTGGGAAGAAATGTTGAGCTGTGCAGAAACAGCTAGTCGAGGAAGACTTTTCAAAATTGGCCTCTTTTCAATGGAACTTTAGCCCTGTATTAGGGTTAGGTGTGTGCACCAGGGTAGGGTTAGGGTTGGAAAACCAAGTGTTGTTGCACGATTTTGATGGCTGAAATGTGCTTAGAGTGGGCAGAAATGTTGAGCTGTGCAGCAAAAGCTAGTTGAGGAAGGCTTTTTCAAAATTGCCCCTTTGAATCGCTCCTTCTATTAGGGTTAGGGGAGTGCACCAGGGTAGGATTAGGGTTAGAAAAACGTGGTGCCCTGGCATGATTTTGATGCTGTGCCCTCTCTGTCTGCAAGTGAGCCAAGCTGCCCCAGCATTGCCCCTGGAGCCACGCATTGGATAACAGGGCACATAGGGGACTTAAGCATGCTTACAAAGGAGCAGCGGTGTCAGGTGATTGCGTCACGAGCCGCGACTCATCAGCCATGCCTTGCTTGAGCTTGCACATGGCTGGTCACTGCACTGTCAAGGATATATACATTTTGCTTGGACTGGCTGTGAGTTGGTTTTTCTAAACTAAAACCTCAGTTTTCCGATTTCATTGCAGAGTTTCTACGTTGCGATCAATAAGTGGGTTTTGGGTTGCAGTGTGGGCTATCTGTCTCTAAAAGGTTCGCCATCACTGCCTTAGATATTCCAAATGCACCTGCATGGCTTAGATTATATAAAAATGATCTAGCACATAGGTGGAAACAGATTCCATAAGAATCACATATATGATTAATTCCCACTAATGTGGTTTAGTCATCTAAATGTTCACTCAGTCATTTGGGAGCTATTCACAAATAAGCGTGCCTACATGGCTGAGCAAACATCTAAAAACAACCTGCTTGTAAGCAGAGCTATATGTACTCTGGTGTTAAAAAAAAGAGTTTCAAAATTTGATCCCATGGAGTTCAGATGTCAGGAACCAGCAGTACTACTATATGAATCCAGGAACTCATAGGCTACTCTTGATGAGGGCTCTAATGGGTTCAGTGGTGGTTCCCCAGGATTTAGGTGTTCCTAGGTTCTGGAGTGGCTCAGCCTACCCAGTCCAGCCACTGGTTCCCATGACCTAGAAGGACTATAAGGGTTCCCAGGTCAGAGTGGAACTGTGCCTTAGCAGCAACAGAACTGTGCCTTGCCTGGCCACTGCTGAGCATGAAAAGGCCATTTCAGCATCAAAGAAAACTGAACTATGCTAATTCCATAAATTAAGCAAACACCCATTCTTGTTTGTTTTTTAATGATCCATTTTATACTTCTTAGTCATGGCGAGAGGTGATGATGCATAGTGAAACGGACCCCTGGTCACTGGGAAAACTTGTCTGAGATTTCACAATGTATTAACATGCAACAGAATCCATATTCAGGAGCTCGGCTTGCACATTCAGTGAGCACATGATGTAGGGGAAGGATGGTCCAAGAAATCCCTGGATCCCGAACTGCATAGGGCTTTAAAGGTTAAGCATCAGATCTTTGAATAGACTCTGAAAGTGGGCCAGGGGAAACAAAAGGCTGGTTTCACAACAGGAAGGGGATGATATGTTCGCTCCTATATTTCTGCATGAGTCACCGTGTCAGGTATTGCAGCTGATAGAGAGCTGGCAAGACCAGAGCCAGGACTGGTGCAGTCACATAAAAAAGGCAGGTCATTCTGCTGTATTTCTGTGAGCAGAAGCAGGTAAATGCTGTGAACAAAGATGCAGCCAACGACCCAAAAGACTGGAAGGATGCAAAACCAGTACAGTGACTTGTTTAGAGATGCAACAGGCAAGCTTCTCCACAGGTGGGCACTTTGGCACTCACAGAGGCCTTTGGGGTTTTTTTCTTTTACTCCTCATAGTCCTCTAGTGGGAAACAAGAAACCTACATCCAAGAAGCTTCTTGCCATATCCTAGGAGGAGAGATCATTGGAAATCTACCTCTGTATGAATGTCTAGGCGGGATTTAGGCCACCACAATTCAGATGCGTTCTTTCTCTTACCAGAGTCATTGTCATGTGCATCGGGAAGAGTGAGATACACACTGTTGTTCTTTTTGACTGGCGGTGCCTCTGTCAGGCTGCTTGCTTTCTCTGAATCGCTGCAAGAGAAGAACAAAAGAATCCGTGTGACAGAGGATTGCTTATGGGAAGTGCAGGGTGTATCAGACCTACAAAATGAGCATCGATCTGACCCACCTGCCCCCAACTCTGAAAGATGAAATCCACGCATGAGATAGCGAACGCCAGAATACGCTGCATGTGTCTTGGGGAGGCGGGGTGGGGGCAGGGGGGTTGAAGGGATGGGGGTGGGTTGTGTCACTAGCAACACCATGTGAAACATTTTGACAAGGAAGCTGGCAAGGCAGGATGTTGGTGCTGGTGATGACGGACGCACGTGGAGCAAACTGGCACATTTCAGCAAAGCATGATTTAGTGTTGCTGAAAATCTGGCTCTTTTTCTTTTCCTTGTTGCACTAGAATGAAATTCCTGCTTCTGCACAGAAATCACCACCAGAAACCGATGTTTGTGTACATGGGTCAAATAACCCTGGGATATGATTGTATATTAACAAATTTAACCCATTTATTCAAGGTATTGTTTTAGGTCTCCCTGGTATGTTGACAGATATGGTCCTCATCGGATGGTGATGATGGCATTTGAGTCTCACATTTCCTTTCAGGAGCTCAAAATGCAGCATCTGGTTCTCCCATTTCCTTCTCCCAGCAAATCTGTGAGGCAGGTTAGGATAAGGGACTGTCACTGTCCCACAGGCAGCCAGGAAGATACATGGTTGAGTAGGGATTTGAATATAGGTCTCCCCAATCCTGATCCAATATTCTACCACTACCTTTGGTCCCTGGGACTAATGGAGCCAACGAGCTCCCCACCGAAGCACAGTGGAGCCATCGGTTGAAAGCTCTCCATCCAGGGTCTAATGCGATTAAAGCAAGGCCTTCTTTGTTTTTGCACATCTGTGCAGAGTCCTTGTTCAGACTCATTTCAGACTCAAAACAGCCCATTTTGGCTTATTTAAATCACAGAGGGTTCTGGTACGTGCCAGCAGCCACTTGAGCCACAGCTGTGGCTTCTGTTATCCAAACCTGGAAGAGATGAGTCGCTTTGGGATTAAACAACTCTTGCATCACCCTAAAACAAGCCATTGATTGTAGGAGGGTTGATTAAATGTCACACAACTGCCCCAGCCACATTCAGATGAGACAACAAGCTGTGACCTTTAATGTTGAGGATGGTGCTGTGGGTACCACAGCTTGCTGTGGTTTACCTAAGCCATAATTTGTCACACTGATCATGTGAACCCAGTCAGACCTTATGTTATGGATTGCTTCTTTTTTTATTTCCCCCTTTTCTTATGTGTTAAGTAGTTAATTCTTACTTTGGGAGTTGTCTTGTTGTCACCCTCACAGTATTGCTATGCTGCTATTTTACATGGTAAACAATGCTTTTGTACAGAAGGAGATTAAGTACAGTGATTTTAAGACAGGTGTCTTATATGAGGATGCCAGCTCAGGTCCATCAACAGAGCAAATGTCATCATCATTCTCCATGCACTTAAGTTTCTAAACCATCTTCAAGGGCAGCTCCTCCTAGGATGTGTTAGCAATCCAATTTTCCCCAACCTGGTACCCATCAAATGAGTTGGGCTATGAACTCCCATCATCCTGAGTTTGCACAGTCACTGGCCATGTGGTCACTGTACAGCGCATCGAGTCTGGACACTACAAAAGAGTGAATAAATAGCGCTGACCAAGTCTCTCCTGTTCCACCAAATTGCTACACTGCTATACAATGATTAGAGACCTTCCTCTTTATGGGTAGTTGCACTGTGGAGATGCCTACAGGCAATGTCAAGATAAGACTGTGAAGGCAAAATAAAAGAAGCAATCATGGTTTGTCCAAGTGCAAATATTTTAGTTGATTTTTTTGTTCATTCTTTTCCTTCAAAAGGGAACATAACTAGTGGTCCTGACAGTATACCAGGGAAATACAGGGTAGCTGAACTAAAGGTGTAAAAGAGTCACTTGCAAGAAGTCCTGACGCCACACACCCGGCTGCAACTCACCAGGAAAGAAAAGGGGAATTATTCTTCCAGCATCGATTCATATATGTTTTGGTGGTGGAGAATTTGGCAAGAGTTCTGGTCTAGATGTACCCTTACAGATCTTCCCTGACTGTACAGGGAAGAGGTACAGAGGTGCCCTTACTTGAGTAACATCACATCACTTCTAGCATGCCCCTTCGCCTTGCTCTGCAGTCCTACAACAGCTATAGTGCACCCCAGCCTTCCCTAACCTGGCACCCAGTAAGGCAAGATCAGGTTGCAGTTTACATATCTGGGAAGGGCACCAGCTTAGAGAAGGTTGTTGTAGCCGTCAACAATAACCATTAGCAGCAATAATTGAAAGGCTGATCTGTGAAAAGCAACTGTGATGAAAGGATGTTTCTTCCTTTCAGGGGTGAAGCTGATGGTCCCCTTTCAGCTCCTGGATTTTGCACTGGCTATTCAACAATGATTATCTCTCAGCTCTAGTTCTTGTAGACTTGGCTGGTTACATGACACCACCTCTTCCTCATTTCCAAGTGATATAAAATAACATAGCTCCGTATGCTTGCTGCTGGATGCTTAGTAGTTTCTACAAATTTCAGGTCTCTTACTCAGGCCTCTATATATAGTTTTAGGCAGGAGTCCTGGACCCACTAACATGCATGTAATACCGACTGACCTCTACAGGATTTACAAGCATTTAAGTGGGTGCAGAATTACAACCTTTACATGCTTAAGGGTGCAATTCTACGCATGTTTAGATAGAAAAAGTCCGACAACTTCCAGCTTCCTGAGGCAAGGGGAATGCCAGGAGTTGTAGGTCTTTTTTCTGTGTAAACATGTGTAGGTTTGAGTCCCAACTGCCCTTGCTCATGTTTGGACCTGAGGTTGGGAGATGGAAACAAGACGAAAGTAGTTGTATCTGCATTTTGTTGGAAATTGTAGCATTCATTTTTTTCTGTCTGAGCATGGCTGACTGGGGCATGCTAGAAATTGATGGACCTTTTTCTGCCTAAACATGCATAGGATTGCTTCCTAAGTGGCTTTTTATGGTAGGGGCAAGGACATTCCTTAAAAACATTCCAAAGATGACCTTTAATTTGAAATCACTGCTCTCATTCAGACAGGCTTGTAAATGAGTTTAGACAAGTTACTACAAGCTCATAATCTTGTTTATTATCATACCTGCTCACATATACCTATATATTGTGGCCTTAACGGGGTTTGTTTGTGTTTTTTTCCGGGGGGGGGGGGGGGCTTGATCATTTAGAGCATGGATGGGAAACAAGTAGCCTTCCAGATCTTGTTGGACTTCAACTCCCATCATCCTTTACCATTGTGTAGGCTCTCCCACACTGGAGACATTCAAAAAGAAACTGGACAGCCATCTGAGTGGGATGGTGTAATGTGGTGTCCTGCAACAGCAGGGGATTGGACCCGATGGCCTTCTGGCCCCTTCCAACTCCGCTCTTCTATGACTGTCCATACTGACGGGAGCTACAGTCCAGCAACATCTGGGGGCCTGCATGTTCCCTGTCCTTGATCTAGAAGCAAGACCAGTTCCACCAAGAGAAGATTCCCGGGTGAGAGCGCATGGCCGCAGTTGCACTGCTGAGCTGCCACCCTGAGTCTAATTTACCCCTCTGCATCTGGCACTGTGCTGCCAATCCTCCTTGTTGTAGCAGAACTGGGTTGGCTTGGGGGGATCTCACTTATTCAGTCTCCCTTCCCAGTGGCTGCCTCCTTTCCCCCCGAAATACATTAAGGTTGGTTTGGTCTATTAGTTTATTTATGTCCCACCTTTCTCCCATTGTAGTTCCCAGGCGGCCTCCCCTCCGAGCTCAGGCCAGCCTAGACCTGCTTAGCTTCAACAGGGCAGATACCTTATGTGTCTTCAGACCATACTCTGGTTGTTCTGGGGTTGACTCCTCTCTCCTCCCTGACAGCCTAAATCACTGGCTAGGCTTCTAGGAGGCACGAAGCCTCATGCTGTAGGTTGGAAGTGGGAAAGGTCATGGCTTCTGGAGAGAGGACTCCTTGCCACTGATCTTTTTGCTCTTCCCTAATATCATGCCCTTGAGCAGCTTGTCGTGGGGCTGCAAACAGATGGCAGGTGTCCTCTGAGGACCAGCATTGTCCCAGAGCCTGAGTGCCTCTACAGCTGTTCATTCCTGGGTCTCCTGCCTCTTCTCAGCAGTGTCAAGAACAGTTGAGAGCGGTGACGATGCCAGCGATGGCTGCACCATCTAGAGTAGCTTTGTGTCCCCTTCTACAGTCCTCTGTTTGCAGGATTACTAGAAGACCATCTTTTATTTGAAAGGGTCCTCTGAAGGGCTGTTGTATCCAGATTCAGTTTAAAGACTGAGAACCTAAGAACAGCTTCCCATCAACAGTGAGCACCTGGACAGCAGTCACAGAATAGTAGAGTTGGAAGGGGCCGTCAGGTCCAACCCCCTGCTGTTGCAGGACAGCTAGTTACACCATCCCACCCAGGTGGCTGTCCAGTTTCTTTCTGAATGTCTCTAGTGTGGGAGAGCCCACCAGCTCTCTAGGCAGCAGGTTCCACTGTTGTATTGCTCGGACACTGGGGAAGCTTTTCCTAATGTCCAGCCTGAATCCGGGTTGTCACAACTTGAATTGATTATTCCGTGTCCTACACTCCGGCATGGCAAGAAGAGACCTTGACCTTCCTCTTTGCGACAGCCTTTGAGGTACATATAGAGGGATGTCATGCCCCCCCCCCAGTCTTCTCTTCTCAAGGCTGAACATGCCCAGTTCTCTCAGTGTTTCTTCACAGGGCAGTGTTTCCAAACCCTGGATCTTTTTTGTTGCCCTCCTCTGCACCCTTTCTAATTTACCTGCATCCTTCTGAAATATTGGTGCCCAGAACTGGACACAGTATTCCAGGTGAGGTTTGACTGGTGAGGAGTATAGAGGAACTATTACTTCTCGTGATCACAGTCATCTACATTACAACGAAATGTACTATATTTCTCTCAAAATTAGATTCTAAATGTGCACCTCTATTTACAAATTAGCCTAGGCACTTTTAATGCATTCCTGTCCCTTTTTGGAAATTCATAAGCGGCCACCCTGGGCACCACCATTTCTGGATGGCTGCCTACCGCAGCTGCCCGGAGGGCCACTGAGGACTTAGCAGGGGCAGCTGGGTTGCATTCTCCACTTAGAAGGACAGGCAGCCACATTCCACTCTGTACTGGCAACAGAACAACGAGGGAGCATTATAGTTCCCTGGCCTGAACTATGAAATATGGTGGCACTCAGTGCTGGCAGCTGGTCCCTTCACCTTGACAGCTGCCTGGTTAGGCCAAGCACTGATTGTAGGCTTGGCTTGGGGGAAATCCTTACTTGTCACAGGCAATGTGAGTCACATGGGGAACCATGGTAGAAAATTCTTTATTATCAAGTTTTTGAATGTCATTATGCCCCTCTATGAGGGCCAGAAGCTTTGTAAAAGCAAGTGCGCGAGTGAGCCAGAGTAGCAAGAATCAGCGAGCCACAGGAGACTTACTCATAAAATTCTCTTTTCACCTCTGCTTCCAGTGCAGGTGAGAGTTTGGGCCTCGTACAAAGTTTAGATAGGCATCTAATACAATCCTTTTAAGGAATCCCAAGTTGTCCCCACTGAAGGTTGCACAGAGAAGAGTGTACAGTGTGTTCCTTTTAATATTTGTATTGGCTCTTTTTAACGGATTACTTCAGGCACCTGTAATGCTTCTTATATATGAGTGTCATTGTTTCAAAAACAAACACAAATGAACAAGTAAAATATCCCTCAACTTGTCACCAAGGAGACAGTGACTAAGGCCTAGTTCTTGAGGAGACAGTAAGTCTGCGTTGTGGCTAGACTAAGCAAAGGGCAGGATGACTCCTTCACAGAACACCACACACAGAAAACTAGCACACCAGGGAGAAGGGGCAAATCTAGCTTTTCACAGATGTCTACATGCAGGGAGCTTCTTTGGATGAAGGAGCACTCGGCCATGTGCGAATCCCAAGACATGCCATCGGAAGTGGTACAGCCCGCGCAGCAGCTATACCGCCTGTCCCATACCTGTGCTGTGAAGCATTATACAGAGTTTGCCACTGGTGCAACATGTGTCTACAGGTTACTAATGCCTCTTCTGGTCCTTTATGCACCAATTCCAGCTTTACTTTGGTGAAGAGTAAACTGAAAAGTGAAAAAAGAAAGAAAGAAAAAACATTGGTTTTACAGGCCAATCTTTTATGATTACTAGCATTTGCCTTTATAGATGGATGAAGATTTATTGCTAGATATACTCTTAGGTCCAACTAAGAGTCTCCACATTTTCAATTACTATATAATACAGAGGGTGCCAAAAATGTATACACATTTTAAGAGATGTTATCTGTATATTACTTTTCACAGTTAAATTGAATTACAGTAGCAATGTGTAATACGACATTCACTCAAAAGATGGCATTAATCAAGTAGAAACATTGAAACAAAGTGAGTCAGGAGGGGTCTCCTGGGCCATCTAGTCTGACCCCTGGCTCCAGCCAGCCCCACTCATGACATGCCCACCATGTGCATGTCCAGCCTAATCTTGAATGCTAGCATCACCATGCAACAGTTTAATACAGGTTTTTTCCTTTCTTAAAATGGGTATACATTTTTCGGCACCCTCTGTATACACTAAATGTAAACTCAAGTGATGAATGCTGTCAGGATTGTAGGGAAACCACAACCACTGAGAAACAAAAAGGGAGGTATCAGCATGTCTGGAACTTCAAGGCTTGCAGAAAGAGGGAAAAATCCTATGGGGTTAACCCCCCAAAACAGCCCAATGAGGACTGAGCATGCTCAGTGGACACAAGTTCTGAGTCTGTTTGAGGGGAATGAAATGGAGTATCTTGGTAACAGACATGAAGTTTGGACTCCTTGGGTGTGTGTGTGTGTGTGTGTGTGTGTGTGTCAGTCATCCCACAGATGAAACTCTCTGGGCAGTTTACAACAGAGAATACGAGCGCATAAAATATAATCAGAATACAATAAAAAATCCAACTAATAGCTAAACATCATAAAAATTATACTACAAAATGTAAAAAAATTAAAACTGAATTTAACAACTACATTAACACACATATAGACATAAGACCTGCTAGCAGCTAATGTAACACCCAATATACTGTTTAGGGCAGATCAAGTGTCCTATCATGGGGGACAGCTTTAACCTGGCGCTGAAAGGAGAGCAGAATTGGAGCCAGCCAAACCTCACTATAGAGCATCTTCTGTGACCCTGGGGAACGGGGGGTGGGAGGGGAGTTTCATCCTGTATCCAAAGTGCCAAGAAGTATTTGTTTCTAACTCACAGCTTTCAAAAGGTGCTATAGAGCAGCTAAATTTCTCAGGATTGGTGCCTCTGGACTCTAAAAGCAGTGAACGAGAGACCGCATGCAGGCCCTCTCCCCTCCTTAGAATGGTCATATATTTACATTCACCTTGGGAAAGCCTTGTTGGGTGAGTATGCAAAGCCTAAAGATATCAACATAAGCAATTCTCTTCCAAGAGTGGAGTCTAATTTATTGCACTGCTTACCAATTCAATATCTCATTTTAGTACCCAAACACGAAGATGGAAATAGACACAGAGGCAGAAGGTATGATAAATGCTTTAAGAGCCTCTTTCACTATTGACATGCTTCTAAAGCCTTGAATTGGTGGACAAGCATCTGTGTAGGTCTGAAAAGGGGCTGTTTTTATTTTGATGATAAGGTGTGAGCTTGAGAAAATACACTTGGATTAAACATCAATATTGTACAATTACATGTTACACGAATTATAATTCTTATTCCCATCCACCCAAACAACTTGTTGAGCCTTCTAATTTGATTCACAAATTAAAATGATTTACAAATCAAGAAGGCAATGCACCATGTATAATTTCTAATGATGATCTAATAACCTCATTCAATGTAAAATAGAAGGAATGAATAAAAACATTCAAGATTTCAGGAACTCTATCAATGAGTAATAATTCACTTTACATTCTCTAATGCAGGAGTATGGAATCTTTCTCAGTGTGAGGGCAAAATTTCATTTTGGAGAAGCTCTTGGGGGCCAATGATGGACAGGCCCAAAGTCAAAAACAAAAAAAGTCAAAAGACCAAAACTATGAGTGTTTACTCCCAGTAAATAAGCCTTAAGAGAGGCTTTCAATTTCTCATTCTTTCAGAAGGTAGAACAAAGGAGGAGAAAACCATCGGAAGGGGTTGGGACCAAGGAAGAAGCTGAAGTGGGATTGGATTTGGCCTCTGAGCCTGAGGTTCTGCATCCCTGATATAATTAATCAAGTGCTACAGAATATTAAAGGAAGAGACAGATAAGGCATTGGGGGAGGGAAAACATTATATGCCAAAGAGAATCAGAATTGTTCAGAAAAAAACTAGATTCTCTTATTTAGAATCTGCATCTCTTTATTTTATTTTTAGACCACCTTTAAGGGTAGAATTATTAAAAGAAACCAGCTTATGTCTGATTCTGCTAGGCTATAGGTGCAATCCTACATATGTTTAGACAGAAATCAATCCTACAACTTGCAGCATCCAATAGCCTGCCATTTCATGCTCCTATGGCAGAAGATACATCAATAAGATATACAAATGATATCATACTACTGGCAGAAACAGCAATGGATTCAAGTAACTCCTGCTGAAAGTGAAAGAAAAAGCTGCAGAAGCAGGGCAGCAGCTGAACATTAAGAAAACAAAAATCATGAATGCAGAAGAATTACACAACTTTAAGGTCAACAGTGAAGAAATTGAAATTATGAAAGAATTTGCATACCTTCAAATGGAGACTGCAGCCAAGAAATTAGAAGGAGACAGACTATGAAAGGCAGCAATGAAGTAAACAGAAATGACAATAAAATGTAAGGATGTTTCACTACAGGCCAAGGCCAAAATAATCCACACTAGTGTATGGGTATAAAAAGCTGGATAGTGAGGAAAGCTCACAGGAAGAAAATTGATTTGTTTGAAACACGGTGCTCAAGGAGAGCTTTGCAAATACTCTGGACTGACAGAAAGGCAAACAAGATCCTAGATCAAATTAAGCCAGAACTTGCCCTGGAAGGAAAAAAAACAGGATACTGAGGCCTTCATAGTTCAGGTAGATCATGAGAAGACAAACACACTGGAGAAGGCAATCAAGTTAGGGAAAGTCAAAGACAGAAGACTAACTGTAAGATGGCTCGATTTCATAAAGACAGCTGAGTAAGCTTGTTAAAGACTGGACATCTTAGATGGCACTCATTCATAAGCCCGAGGCAGCAAAGCGTAACAACAGCAATCCCCTGTAAAGCTACTATTGGTCCTGCAGTGCAAGAAAGACAAGCCTGATATAAAAGATATTTTCCCCTCTAGGGTTCTCCTCATAAACCTAACCCTAATAAAAATGTGGGGCACAGCAATTTAATTAAGAAAAAGTATTTGGAAAGAAAGGGTTAAACATGGTCTCCTTCAGCACTGCTGGTTCAATCAAAATTAGATGCCACAAAGTGTGTTTATTTTGTCTGCTTTTGTTTGAGTTGGGAAATCTGATTGCAAACAGAGATTCCATCTCAAATCTGCTTCAGGTGTCAAACAGCACAGGTTCACCTGCATTTAGTTACAATCATATTTTGAAATTCTTGCCTCCTCTCTTTCCTTTCCCTCTGCAAGGGGCATGTCCAGCTTTATAAAGGATGGCTTTCTAGCTATTCCAGTACAAAGTGTTCTATTTAAAGGCATCTTCCGTTTGAAAAGATGTCAGTCCAAGTCCAGTTTAAAGAGAAAGAACCATAGGGAAGTTATCGTGTTGACTGAACCCACTTACTCTTTCTTCCTTTGTTTCTTCTTAACAACCACTTCATTGCATTTAATCAGTGTCCTTTTTCCTCCACCCCAAAGACAATATTGTGCAAATCTATTCAAAATTAAGAAATGCCATCTCAATGTTCAGGTGATTCAAAAATGTTGAATGCCCATTACCTGCCCCCTCTCAATGCTATGGGAATAATTAAACCTAGTCTCGGTGTTATTTTACCAGTGAATACTTCTGAAACTTCAATGATGCTATTCCAGGATTTGTCACTGTTTTTGCTTTGAACAGGTGAGAAGAATAACATATAACAGTATGCCGTCGGTGGAAGCCTGCAATGAAATGGCATTGCCTCATTCGCCTGCAGCCATCTTGGAGCATACGATCACCCTGAGTCTTCCCTGTTTTCCCCCCAAAAAGAGGAAACATTAGAAAATTTAGGCATTTCATAGAGATTCATAGATTCATAGAAAAAGATGAGTGGGTAAGAGGCTAATAAATAATGGGAGAATATAATTTTGCAGAGGAATGTGATAATAAGTCTTCAAAATATTAACCGGATGGTTTGGTTAACAGTCAAATGAACTGACTGCATTGCTTTTAACTCTGCCTTGTGTGTAAGCAGTTTTACTACTGGGAATGCCTTTATATTAATATTTGAGTCAGTTGTTTTCATATACTGGCAGGTGGATGTAAAAAGAACAATGTATGTTTAATATATATTTTAAAGAAATATTTTAAATGGTTATGGTTTATCACTGCAAAGAACTTCAGATAGAGTTGTTAAAATTAATTGTTTTAGCTATGTATATATGTTTACACTTTTAATATGCTATTAAAATGTTATTTTATTTGCAGCAGCTGCAGAAGGAAATATCTTCCTGAATAGTGCTGCCTTTATGAAAGGGTCTTCTGGCACCTGAGAACTCTTTTCTCCTCTGTATTTGGATTTTTCAAAGCTTTGCTCCATTAATGAATTCATCAACATTTCTAACCCACTAATATTCGCCATCATGTTGCTTCTTCTGCATGAGAAAGAAATGGGTGGCTGGTAATTTTAGGAAGAAAATGGGAAATATCACCTCTTTTCCCTTGCCTATCCTCCACTCATGATTACGGACCTTCTGACACACCTTTGTTATTAAAAAAAAGTTGAGGTATCACTGCATCCATTTATAATGCACCATGAAGTTTGCTGCTTAGATGCTTCTTCTAACACAACTGTTGATTTAATGTTTGGAAATCTCCAGTAATACTCAAGTCATCCAGTGGCATTAAATGGTGTGAGATCCAGACAGTTCTGGCCAGCACTGGCTGAGTGACTTTCTCCATCCCGGGACAGGCAAAGAG